ATATATATATATATAGTAGAGTGCTTTATGAATGGGTAAATAAGGGCACACATGGTGTTGTAAAGAGCTTTGCGTATCTTGATAAGACAGAAAGGTACTAAATAAGTACAGTGCATTTACTATTTATGAATATACAAAATAAAAATGGTTTAATTTAATAAATAATTTCAAAAAGTAAGGGTCAATCAGCCTAAAGCTTCTGCAAGAACAACAAATAAGTCACACCAATTACCAACAAAATATGTCACAGTAATTCTTATTGATTTTCTTTAAAACGTATACAAACAAAAAAGTCTCAACATTGCAAGTTTTTTTTTTTTTTTGTACTTTTTTTTGCCTCTGCATAAGAAAACCTACATCATTTCAACGTAAAGGAATTCCACATTTGAAGGTTGACCAAAAACAAAGCAGCAAAAGAGCTGAAGGATCACCAGTTTATCCTAAAGTGGCTCACGGCACAAGAATCTAATCTAATGGGAGTGGGTGTAAAGTAAAAGCATGATGAAACCTCAGGGAGTCTTAGATTGCACAGCATGATATGGCATTTGTCTTGTGGTGGGGGGACATGGCCATAGACATTCGTTGACATCTCCTATCAGTGGCAGGTAGCAAATGACAAATGGTTCTTGGTGCAGCTGGTTATTAACCTGCTGACTCTGGGTCAGAGGACGTGGGCAGCAGGGGAGAATAACATGAGCTGTGTTCAACTGCACCGCAGGCCCTAATGTGTGGAACAAGTGATTGAAAAAGAGTTGGAAAATTGAGTAATACAATGTTTATTATTCATTATGCCATCTAAATATTATGAGTTTAGGCTTTTAATATAGAATAATTTAGTTTGTATATAATATTTTTCAACCAATGCTTGAATCATTTGTTAAAATTGGTACTATATTAGCAAAATGTTGCTTGTAATAATGTTTTGCCATTGCTCAAGCTAATAAAGGAAAGCATAGGGGGATGGGAGTTAAAGATAGTATAAATGAAATATACAATGCACATGTATAATGTATGGAGAGCTAATTAACGCATTAGTAAACATGTTTTAGAATGCAAGTTCCATTTGGAAAAAGATCGTAATTCCCAAATATTTGATCAAATGATTAGAAATGTAACATGTATCTGTGCTTTATGACCATATTAGAATAATTATTCCCGTTCCACTGTCTTAGAAAATACTCTTTACTTCAGCTGACTACAGGTTATGATAAAATGTTTTTGAGTGTGAAATTTTTAAATGCCGTAACTGCCTGGTTGCTATTAAGCTCTTTACATGTAATCTGTGGGTTGGAGATATGCCACTTCAACTTTCACCTTGAAGATAATGCTGTGTCTGCTGGGCCTTCAGTGACGTGCCTCCTGCCATCTGTTACCGTGGTAAACACATCAATATAGCCTGCTGCCATAATTACCTCAAAATCTTGCTTCCAGACTTTGTAGATATGCAAAGACTGCAAATATTTTTATAGACAGCCTTAAAAAAAACTATGACTGTTCCTAATAATGGCAGCTTGATTCAAATTAAGTGTTGCTCCTTCAAACTGAAAAACAAATCAAAACGTAATTAAAGCAATTATATGCAAGATAAAACAGAAATAGGTTTCTGAAAGTGCTAATTCATACGAGTGTTATGCAGATGAGTAAGCATACTATTTTAAGACAAAAGAAATAAATGTCTTCGTGTCCTTCTCAATAGAGCTATCAGATTTTGTCATTGGGAAACAAGCCAGATGTTAGTGGCATAAAGGCGTATGTCCTCAAGCTTTATTATTAATTTGTTAAGGGGGAGCAATACTCACGTGCATTTGTGCATGACGGTGAGCACATTTTTGTAAGCCTGACTGAAGCTGGTGTGCTCCCAGCAAGTGTCTGCAATGTTCTCTAAATGAGTCCAAGGACAAACCAAAGAAATGCAATAATAGTGGATGTGATATTGTCTGTGAGGATTACAAAGATGTGGCGACACAATTTTAGGACTTTATTCCATAAATCCTTTTTTTCATTACTGTTGATGTTTTCTTAAGGCATACTAGATTCCAAAAGCAGAGTGTCAGCATCCAAGTTTGAAAATCTGAATGTCTTTTATCAATCACATTAAAAACGTTACTAGAACCACCTTCTTCCACCTGCGTAATATCGCTACAATTAGAAACATCTTATCTAAAAATGAGGCAGAAAAACTGGTTCATGCATTTGTCACGTCTAGACTGGACTATTGCAATGGTTTGTTATCTGGGTGTTCACATACTTCTTTAAAACATCTTCAGTTGATCCAAAATGCTGCTGCCAGAGTCTTAACTGGAGTTAGCAGGAGAGATCACATCTCTCCAGTTTTAGCTTCTCTCCATTGGCTCCCTGTCAAATCCAGAAATGAATTCAAAATCTTACTTCTATCCTACAAAACCCTCAAAAACCTAGTTCCATCTTATATTCAAGATCTTATTGTTTCATATTTTCTTAACATAGGACTGGGCTCTCAGACTACAGGTTTATTCGTGGTCCCCAGTTTCCAAAGCAGACTGGGAGGAAGATCTTTCAGTTATCAGGCTCCTCTATTGTGGAACCAACTTCCAGTTTCTGTCCATGAGACTGACACATTGTCCAGTTTTAAGACTGGGCTTAAGACTTTCCTTTTTCATAAATCCTATAATTAGGGTTGGCTTGTTAAGCTGCCTTAAGCTTAGACTACTAAAGGACATATTTACCTCATTTCCTTAAATTAATTGTTAAAATTGAATCATTTTCATTTGATACTATTTCTATCTTAACATGTGATTCTTGACCTGCCATTGTGTATCTGTTCCTACCAAACCCAGTTAGTTGAAGCAGATGGCCGCTTGTCCTGAGCCTGGTTCTGCTAAAGGTTTCTTCTTCTTGAGGGAGTTTTTCCTTTCCACTGTTGCCTTCATGCTTGCTCAAGATGAGAGTTAAATTCAATGCAGTCTGCTCTTCAGATAAAGTCCTAAATTATTATTTTTATATATGGATGTTTCTGTTAACTTATTTTACATATGAATATTTTATGTTCGGTGCCCTGAGATGACTTTTGTTGTGACTTGGAGCTATAAAAGTAAAGTGAATTGAAATTGAATTGAGTTACAACAATCCATTTTATTTACTACATGTTAAGTACCAGTTTACTGGATCTATTTTCAGTTTTCCAAGCTGTTTGCACAGCTCTTCATCCAACATTGCTTTGCAATGACTATGCAATTCATGAGTCTATCGAAGGTGGATGTGCCTCAAACCTGCCAACTTTCTAAAACTCAGAAGGGGGTGACACCTCTTGCTGTGGTTGCCAGAAACTTGTTTTATCATTTTAACTCAACAGTGAACCAAAAACAGGTTCAGCATAAGGACAAAATGCACAAAAACAAACTGATTTTATACAGTTTAGTGCAACGAAAGTGCACAGTCTTTATAGAGGAAATCAAATATCCATTTCACAGCACTGACCACCACACGCAACATATCTTCAGATAAAGAATCAGCTGTCCATCAGAATCTCCAGGGTAAGGGACACTTTCTCAGACAGCAACACACATATTTTAGACAGAAAAGACATCATGAGTGAGGAGTCAAGGAATCTTTATGTTAGATAGGGAATTCAAACTATAATAAATAAATGAGATTATTTCAGATCCAGTATCACCTAATCAATCAACCTCTGATGGTTTCACAACCACTCAAATTTTCAAATATGTGACCAAAATACCTAACATTTGCTGAACAAGAAAACAACTTATAGCTGACCAACAAGGTGCATGGGTGGGTGAGACACACATGTGACTTAGCCTTCTGAATATTAATGTTCCCAATAAACTGCCCCTTTCCATGAGTCAGAAATAAATAAAGAAGCTTTTGACATGAAAAGTTGCTTCAAAAATAAACAATATAAATCTGGTTGCTCTTCCTTCAAACTTTCTGGATGGCACAGTGTGATATTTATGCCATGTCTACAGCGGTAAGAAAAAATAAATGCCTCGATTAGACTAACAGTTTCTCCAGTTCTGTTTTTACATGCAAAAATCATTTTGACCTTTAGAGATAAGTATGTTCAAGTTCAAGTCGCCATTTGTTTGAATAAATTTAGAAGTACAGTAAAATAAAGCTGTATACCAGAGTGACTGCAAAAAACTTTCACTAAATGTTCCTGAAACTGAGTGCTGTATTGCCAGAGGAATGAAGCTACTGCACATTTATGCTGTT